TTGGAAGTTCTATCACTAGCTATTAGAGGGAAGGCAGCATTTTGATTTGAAAGATAATAAATGAACCTGTTTGAACCCTATAGTGGTAGTGTCTGCAAAATTGAAAGAATGGCCCAGCAGGAAAAAGGAACTGTAACATTGCAAATGATTATGTTTGAAATTCAAAATCTATTAGTTGTGATAGAGAGAATTGAAAAGAGATTGGAGAATATGGAATACAAAAAATTCATGTAGGTAATGCAGACCATGGTTTAGGAATATGAAGTTCTCTTGATGGCGCCATCACTTAAGCCAGTGATTTATTTCTAAAATCCTTTGTTCCCTCATTGGATGTTGACCTTTTTGTTGGAAGTACAAATGAAAACACTATCTGCGCTAACTCTTTCACTTTCTTGCCAAGCTGCTTATCGTCTCTTGATATGGTTTACAGGTTCATTGTCGTATCATTTGTCCCCACATGAAAGAGGAAAGTAATCTGTGGGCTTGATTATTTTAGTAAGGCTCTCAGTCACATATCCGTAGATTGATTGTCTGGTCTACAAACTGCTGATTCCGTTCCCCTGAGAAGTGAAACTCCTACCACCAACACTTTTTCTTTGGAAAGTCTGGACAACTTTTATTCCTGTCACTGGAACACTGGAACAATGTCCCTTCTTTACAGGTGTCTGCATGCTTTCTTCCAGGGGGAGGATATGAAATCAATTGCTCAGCTCCAGAGGGGCTGTACTGACTGCACTAGACAGCAGGGGCACTGCTCTTGGTTATTGTTTTCTTCTATGAGTGACATATAGGTTGAGTCTCAGAATGGCTAGAGTTGCCTCTAGACCAGGGGTGTCAAACTCGCATCATCACATGACGTATTGGGACTTTTTTCTCCTTTGCTAAACCGAGCGTGGGCATGGCCAGCGTGTGATGCATCTGGGCTGTGGGCTGCGAGTTTGACAGCCCTTCTCTAGACCCTTTTTCTTCCAAGTAATTCATTTGGTTTACATTTGGTACATGTACAATTTGGGTCTTCTATGGGCATGGGCACAGACATGGAACATATTTTGCAAATCACAACAGCATCAAACTCTTTGTCCATGATTATGTTTCTTTTCTTCACTAGTTCATTTAAAAATTAAACATTTCAAAAAAATTCAAAATGCTCAAAAAATGCAAAATGTTTTTCAAAATGTTTTAAATTCTAAAAGATCATTTACAAATTTCAAAAAAAATCTTTTTTAAAAAAAAATTAAGGTTTTTTCAAACATTAAAAAAATTCTACAAGTTCAATCTAAAAATTAAAAATTTCAAACATTTTCAAAAATTCAAAAAAAATGTAAACTAAAAATTTGTATTCTTAAATGTTAAGTCTTTTGGTCCTCTTGTGGTTAATGTTGAAGTAGAACTTAAATGTAATTGAGGTTGCCCTCTAGATATAGTTTGTAATCCACAGATGTATAAAAGAATAACAGATTAATAAAAAGATGAAAACAAATCTCAGATGAAAATAAAAAAATGAAATATCAGCTTGTAGCTTGTGTAAAAGTTTATAGAAAAATACCCTGTTGAGTTTGATTTGTGCTAATACTACTTTTATTTTGTTTTGATACGTTATATTCATAATAAGAGAAGTGTTTGTTACTTTAAATTAGCCTAGCACCAGAGGAGCATTTTGCTTTTTCCCATTAGTTGCATTAAATGGTTATCCCTGAAAACAACTTGCACCCATATTTCTCAACTGATGAGCTCCAGATATACTGCAACTCTCAGAATTCCCTGCCAGCATGGCTATTGTGACTACATCTGGAAAGCACTAGTTGGAAAAGACCAACACACTGGCAATGCTATCATTAGTGAAGGATCACAAAATGTATTCCATACAGTATACACATTCCTTACTATCTTGTTCTGTAAATTGTTCTAAATCTTTGAAGATAGAAGCACAGTGAAGATCATAAAGTGAAGGTACTGGTGCAGCCATTAGGAAACAAAAAAAATGAACTTAATGATTTTACTACGTATGTATTACAAGATTGGAGTGTGGGGCAGGGAGTGAACAGCTTGGCTAAAGACCTAAGATTGTGAAGGAGAGATCTGAACATGGTCCTTCAAATTCTGCGCTACAGGACATCTGAATTTTTTAACTCATGTGAAAAGGAAAAAAAAACACTACCTATTGAAAAGTCAGAGATTAAGTGATGGGATTTCTTTGGTCCCTATCAAACATTTTGTCTATATCCAATCCTTTGTCCCATCTTGACCAAAAGAAAAAAGAAAAAAAATGCCACATCTAAATAGTGCAATCTCATTACTTACCTAAGCCAGGCTTCCTCAGTCTGGTACACTCCAAATATGTTGAACTAGAACACCCATCTTCCTTAGCCAGCCCAGCATTCAACAGAACTGGAAGGTACAAGGCTTGAGAAGCCATATTATAAAACTAAAAAGTTTTTTCTAGGGTGGCATGCACAATCTGCCAGACTATTAACTATGCAGCTATAAAAGGAGTGGAGATTGAACACTCAAATGATGAAATATACATTGCCAGTTTTCCCAGAAATGGGCAAAGCCTAGCTAAGAAATATATCCAGTTTCTCAATTGAGTACAGAAAGTGAATCTGCAAGTTAAACCATGATGTCTCTCCACACATACCGTAAAGGCTCTGGAGAAGGGTATTTCCCTTCCAGCATGTCACATACAGCGATGCGGATAGTCTCATGTTGAATGCACTCATTGTAATTTTTACTGTCTCCTGGATGTCTTTCCTACAAAACAACAACAGCTGAGTACCTCTCCACTTAAAATGTAAAAACAAACAGAAAAAGAATTATTTATAACATACTCCACCACTAATATAGTTCAACTATTCAGCTAAAACCAAAGTAAAAATTGAATACAATAAAATCAATATATTTGAAGATATATTCCCCCATATGTCCAGCACCTCCTTTCCCATCTGGTATGAATGATTTTATTTGTCAGTGATTTCCTTTGTTGTGTTCTATGGTTGTTGATTTTAATGTTTTTTAATATTTTAATGTTTTTACGCTGTAAGCTGCCCAGAGTCATTGGAAACGAGATGGGCGGAAAATAAATTCCATAAATAAATATTTACAGTCACCATAAAATAACATACAATCTTTCATACAGCAATATAAAAGCTCACACCTATAACCCATTATCAGCCTTCACAAATACACTTACAACAGGATGTCCCTATCTTCTAATTTTATTAACTGTCAGTCTCAACATCTATTCATGATTGAATAGATCTTAGGACTGATCTACCAATCAGTCTAGATTACTAAATAGATATGTTTTCAAGTATGTCTCAAATACATCCAACTCTTAGTGGGACCAGAGTAAGAAAGGAACATAATTTCATAATAAATGACCCATGCAAAGGGTATGCCGCATCATAAGAAGAAACAACAGAAAAGAACCCCTGTCCTGCTGATCATATTGTATATTTAGGAGCATGCCAAGATAGGAGCTGAGACAGGTAATATGAATGGCTAGCCACAGGGCCTTAAACACTAGTGCCAAAAGCTTTAGTGGGGTTCCAACCCTAAGAGGAAACTACAGGCAGTCCTCAATTTAGGGCCAGTCGTTTAATGATCATTCATAAGTTACAGCAGCCTCTAAAGGGTTATAAAGTGTTGCACTGTACCCCACACTCGCCACAATCTGGATGCTTGGTAACCTGTTCATATTTACAACCAGCGGCAAGCTCCTTGCAATGTGATCACCCTAACCCTTTTTTTTTAAAAAAAAAATATGAGACCGTAATATGCTGGAAAAACGAAGCACCAGATTTGAATGGCATCCTCCTGCCAAGAGCACCTCTGGGTACCACAGGCAACCTTAAAAAATTAGAACAGTAAATGGCTGTAACAATTTTTGGTTGGAAATGTGCCCCCCCCCCGGCAAAAAAAAAAGGAGGCTAAAAGTAAGCTAGGATAGTAAGAGTACCTTAGAATTTTAAAGAACATGACAGGGAGCAACATCACCTCTTGATAAATGGGTATTTTGTAACAGGTTATTCTCACTATGGAGTCCTTGGTGCTTCCTGAGCTTGGTTGTTTTCTTGGAGATGTTTCATTACCAAACTATGTAACACAGTGCTAGAAAGGAGTGGGCTTTGCTCTTTTCATAAACTAGCGGCTTGTCCTGTCAGTGCTGGTGGGAATGTTCTTGGTGGTCCCTTGATTAGGCTGTTGTTTACTGTTACCTTGTTTGTCTGAGTTGGTAGTTCCTTGATTGCAGTATTGTTTATTTTTTGATTGTTGGTCTAGTATTAATCTTACGAATGAAGGCAAATATATGTGTCCCAGGATAATGTTGCAGGGTCCAATCTGGATCGGTCATCAAGACCAGAGGTCTAGTCTTCTGAGTTTTTGGACTCGTGCTGGAACCCATCCTCAGGGAACTTCTCTCTACCAGAATGCACACATAGTACAGATTGGATCTTAGTATTAATCTTAGTGTTGCTCTCTGCTTATCTGGGTGTTGATTGTTGTTGAGGTGTTTTGGTCTTTTTGTTTTCTTTTTTACTTCTTGATTACCTTTTTTCAATGGTACTTAGATGTTGTTTATCTCTGTGTGCCTGTTGATGAATGTTTTGTGTGAGTGCCAGGCTTCCAGGAATTCTCTAGTGTTTTTGGACTTGGTCTAGGATGGTGTTTCCCAGTTGAAACTATGGCTAAGTCTGTCTAAGTCTGTGTTGTGAAATTAAGGAGCTTTCATCACATCTTCTGACAGCTAGTTGGTGTTCATGGATGCACTATGCTAGTCTTCTGCCTGTTTGTCCTACATAGTGGCTGTTACAGTCCTTACATTGTATGTTGTAGATTAGGAGTCCCCAACCCCTGGTTTGCAGCCCATTAGGAACTGTGCTGCACAAGTGAGTGAAGCTTCATCTACACATGCGTGGGATCTAGGTAGTGCATGAAACCACATCCTCCCCACTCTGTGGAATTCCTCCCACCCACCCACCCCCCAATGGAACCAGTCCCTGGTGCCCAAAAGGTTGGGGGCTGCTGTTGTTGATGACTTGTTTTTTCTGAGGCTGCTGGGTCTTTGGGTTTACTTAGGATGTTTTGGAGGGCTTTAGTTGGTTTGTGTGCTACAGTGATACCATGTGGTTGTAATAGTCTATTGGTGGTTTCTGAGATATTTTTGATGTATGGCAATGTTATCCTTTTCACAGCTTGTGTTGGTGGTGCTGTAGTGGGTATACTGGTCAGGCACTTTTTGATAAAGTTGTGTGGGTATCCCACTTTGTTGGAATATGTTGCATAGATATCTTTCCTTTTCCTGATGTTCAGGGTTGCTGTAGTGTGTATGTGCTCGTCTAAATAGTATTCTCACACAGCTTCTCTTGTGGGAAGTTGAGTTGTTACTTTGGTAGTGGAGCACTTGGTTGGTGTGGGTAGTTTTACAATAGACTTGTGTTTCTAATTTGCCATCATTGCCTCTGCTGATGAGGATATCCACGAAAGGTAGTGTTTTGTTTTCTTCCCTTGTGAATTTTATTCCTTTGAAGATGTTGATAGTTTCATGTGTCTTCTTTAGTTGTTCCTTTTTTATTATAATAAAGGTGTCATCTACAGACCAGATCCATACTTTGGGTTATATGTGTGGGAACACTACAGGTCAGTGATGGCTAACCTTTTTATAAAGGCGTGTCAAAATTGTGCATGCGCCTTTTTTGTGCAAATGTGAGATCTTCCTATTGTGTGTGTTTGCTGGAGAGAGCAAACATGCAGAACTGGGGCTCTCCTGAATAATCTCATTAAAATCCTAAAAAGAAACCAAACATGCACAGAATTGCAGCCACAGGGGGAAAAAAGTGAATGGAGGAAAAGACTGGACTTGGAGAGAAGAGACATTATTTGGATGCAAATAAATTGATTCTGGTGAGTTCTGCTGTGTAGTGCAAATAGACTGCAATTCCTTTGTTCTCCTGATGACATTGGGAAAATACAAGCATTGGCAAAGTTTTTCAGCATTGAGAAAATTGTCTTTATATAGACCAGGGGTGTCAAACACAAGGCCCACGAGCCGTATCCAGCCTGCGGTGTGGTCGGATCTGGCCCATGGGGCTGTCCTGGAAAATGTAAGGGGCCGTCCTGTGTTGCTTCAGCCCAGTCTACCCAATGCAAAGAGGAAACATGCAGCACTTTGGGGAGTGGCGTCAAGGTGGACACTCCCACCCATTCAGCCACGCCCAGTGTGTGACGTCAAGCTGGCCATGCCCACCCAGTTGGCCACATCCACCCAGTCGGCCATGCCTGCCCGGCCCCCCGAGGTCAACCACAGCCCTGATGCGGCCCTCAATGAAATTGAGTTTGACACCTCTGATATAGACTGAACTGTTTTTCTTCAATACTGACTGCATAGTACTTTTTACCATTAACAGAGCATACTTACACAGACATAATTGCAAAATGAATTACACACAGATCTGATTGCATGAGTGTTCTTTTTCCCTCTCTCTTTCTCTAATGAATGAAATGGAGATCTGTTTGCAAGGGTGTTCTTTTTTCCTTTTCTTTTTCTCTCTGCATATTCATAAGAATTTATAAGGATTCCAGTCTTTTTTTATAAAGTGTTTTTATTTTTTCATTTTCATAACATATAATCACATGTATACTATTACATAGCCAACATCGTACTGTATTATTAAAT